CAATCTCACCATAGGCATGTTGTAAGCAAAAAAAGAAAGTGGGCTTTACACGCATACGAAATTAGGTCATGTCTTGAGAAAATACAGATTCCCCCCTTGTGCACAAGTATACATGTTATGTTCTTTCTTCTTTATGCAAACTAATTAGAAAAAACCTATTGAGTTGTCATCTGCATTGATCTTTAGTCAACAGAACCTTTTATATTTAATTGTTGTGACTTTTAGGTAAGCTCTCTTGAAAACATATGCATGCTTTATAAACTCAATTTTTAATGATAATTAGACTTTTGATGGGTACCTGAGATTTTTCATCCCTAATAGGGTCAACTGAACTTTTTATATTTAATGATGTTGCATTCACTTCAGAGAATGGACGAATTTAAAACTTTTTTTATTAATAACTCATTTTTCACATTCACTTAAGCGAATAGACATTAATGATTTTTCATTAATTACTATATAATAGTAAATTCATTTTCCAATAAAAGAACAAAATATGATATATACTACATGATAGCAAAATTCGTATAAAGGTTGATTTTTAGGGAATAAAAATATTAAAGAGATATTAAGTTTTTTACTTTGATTTGTTACAACCAGAAATTAAAGATCAATCACTGAAATCCTTTTAAAACTTGAAGATGATAAAATATAATTTCAAAACTTAAGAGATCAAAGAATCATACCGATAGCATGTTATGAAATATAACTGAAAGAATAACTGTAAGAGAAATATAAGATAAAGTATTTATATGGAGAGGGAAGATCTTATTCAAATGTGCATCTACAAATGAATTGAAAAGGTCTATTTATAAGCGAATAACCCTTTATCTAGATTGAATTTATAATATAAAGATAATATTAAGAGATTATATAGATGGATTAAATCTTAATCTTTCATCTAATTTAATTTACATCTAAATTTAAATATTTATAATATAAATAGATATTTACAAAAATATTAAAATCATGTATGCTTTATAAACTCAATTTTCAATGAGAATTGGACTTTTGATAGCACCAAAGACTTTTTTTTCCCTATTGGGGTCAGCTAAACCCTTTATATTTAATTGTCTTGACTTTTAGGTAAGTTCTCTTGAAAGCATATGCATGCTTCATAAACCCAATTTTTAATAAGAATTAGACTTTTGATGGTTACCAGAGAATTCGTTTCCCCTAATGGATCAGAGATTAGCTCTTTCTAATTTTGATCATTTGAATTTTTCATCTTTTTGATTTAAAAAATTTAAATTTTTTGTTTATGATCTTTTGAATTTATTTTAAATCCATTCATATGTCAATTTATCATTAGAATTTATATGAAATATGGATGAAATTTGTCAAATGGCACCTTGATAGATCTACAAGCGATAAATTTTATTCAAAATTTATTAACATATTGATGGATAGTTGACTTTGAAATAAATTTAAAAAATTACGAATGAAAAAAATAAATTCTTTGAATCAAAAATAAAAATAAAATATTAAATGTATTCCATTGACAAAACTTTATGCCAATATTAAATTAAGTCCAAATCCTTGATTGACCAAACAAATACCGAAACAGATTACATATTTATTAGTGCTACAAAAGGTGTTAGTCTTTGGATAGAGAGTATTGGCCCCAGATGTTTTCAGTTTTCTTAGATAAAGAGTATTCGTTATAAGCCCAGATGTTTCCAGTTTTCTCTGGTTGATGTCTTCGACGTTAACAGATAGAGACCAAGTCCTTGTTTCGGACTTTCAATTTTACTAGCACAACACACAAGGTTTTGATACTATTAACCTAAAACGAATTGGTTATATGTAAATAAAGAGAATTAGGTCCCATAAGATGTTACAAGGACAGATGTCAAATATATGTTTGAAGGATTTAAACTCTTGTAATTTTGATTTTTCTATCAATGTATTATGGAAATCTCTTCGTTGCCTATATCCATGGAAATAGGCTACAAATTAAGCTGAATGACATAATCATAAACTTTTGAATTTTTGTTAAATGCATACTTTAATTCCTTGATTTGCTGAGAGAAAATAAACATGCCTTGATTTGATTTGCATCATATTGGTAACACTAGCCAAGTCATAACATATGCAGATTACCTTACCTAAGCATTTAAAAAGCATACTTGGAAGAATTGTACGCTTATATATCCTTTTTCTTGGTTAGAACATGTCTACACAAGATTATTCGCATAAAACTCTGGATTGTTCGTGACCATTAATGAATCTGAAGATTGCCTCGCTTGCGTTGGTTTTCTCTGGTATCTGATCATCCTGATTAACAGTCGAATAGAATGACCAAGAAGAAGTAGCCTCATCAAACTGCCCCATATTAACATCCCGAACACTAATACCCTGAAACAAACACCGGATACATGAGAAGGTGTGAAAGCTAATATGGACGACATGTATGTCATTGCCATAGCAGTAATTGCAATCCACATGATCACCATCAAAATCCAAGCAAAAATTCTCCCCCTAGAGGGTAATCCACTGATGAGCAATAGGATGATGCTGAGAGATGCCACGAAACCGGTTGTGTTATACGTTAGGAAACCTTGATATCTTTTTGGATTGTTATAAGCCATTATGAATGTTTGATGCGAAACCATCATTATTGCTTTCTTGCCAAACACCGTTAGGAGGATTGATACCAGCTTGGAAAGCCATGGTAGCAATTAGTGAGGCCACTCCCATTAGGGCACTGCGTTTTTCCTCCAGCCAATCAGAATGCCTCTTAACAGGCTTTTTGCCATCTAAATTGTTGGGAGGGACGAGTGGATGAATTCTATTAGATGCAGGTGAGGATAAAATCCTGGTCCTCATAGCTTCAAGTTCATGCTCTGACAAAGTACCCATTGCAGTTACAGCTCCAGCACTTTGAAGCGATGCAGCAATCTCTAATCTCTTCCATTTTAGGATAAAAGATCAAGCGGTGTCTATCCATTTGCATTTAGAGAATTCAGTTCCACTGAAGTATTAGCAACCAAGAAATGTACAGCCAGCATATTTGAGTCCTAGACTTGGTATGTTCCCCGAAGTTTCCTTAATTATCCCCATGGAGACAAACAAGAACAACAAACTATGAAGGATGATAAAGATGATTATGCCAAACACATTTAAATAATTCCCTTCATGAATTTATCTTATTTCAATAATTATTAAATAAATAATACAATGATAATGAGATGATTTGTTTTATTTCATAAACCATTAATGTTACTTTAATTCCTTCTTTTCTTCCCCATCAAGAAAGAGAGTATATATGACTCGAAACTTGGCGGTGGCTTGCAACTAGAGACCTAGAAAAGGTTATAATTTTCCACTTCCAAACATACCTGAATTTGTTGATCGGCCGCAGCTAGATGCAAGTTGGAATTCCCATCATTATTCTTAGAATTCACAAACTCATCATCGCCGACGGCCTCCACCAAGAACTTCATTACCTCCAACTGGTCTCACCTCTGTTCATCAGCATTCGAGCCACTCGGGACCTGGCTTGAACCAACTCTTTCAAGACAATAATGTGACCCTTGATGGCTGCAACATGCAGAGGGGTTTCTCCCATCTCTGTCGCAAGCAAGGCACATGTCAGGGTCAACCTGTAGCAATCTTCTCACTATATCCAGGTAACCTTTTGCAGTTGCTAAGTGAGTTGGTGATGTTTTTCGGAAATCAAGTTTTTTTCACAAGTTCGGGCTTCAGAGTAAGACTTGTTCAACAAATTCAACATGTCCTAGCATAGAAGCTACGTGTAAAGGTGTTTCAGCACAACAGCCAGCGATAAATCTGTCAAGAACTAACGCATCCTCTTGAAGCAAGGAAATTACAGACCCGTCCATCGCTGCTTCGAAAAGCCTCCTCTCCATTTTCTTTGCACAGTGTTCATTCATGAGATGGATTCCAAAGTAAACAGGTATATACAGCTAGGGGTTGATCTTCACTCATTAAGTCAAGCTCCAAAGGCATGCATCCTGTTTTATTTTCATTTCGTTGCCATTTATGATAATATACTCTTAAAAGAAGACTGTTGCTTGCATGCTTTGAAACATTTTAGAACATGACATGCAATTCAACAATGTTAATTAAGGACAGGTAAGTAGCCAAGATAAATTAATCCCTTGAATTAGGATTAACGGTAACATCGATATTCTCTTGTCCAAGGTCAAACATGATCCAAAGCCGGTAAACTGCTCTTTGGATTTTTTCCTTTGGTCCTTTTCATCGTGCACCATTCTCATGGTTAAGAAGAATTCTGCCGGCATCATGAAGAAATTTCAGGTATTTTGGTTTAAACAAATCAGTTTTTTACTTTGAAAATTACATAGATTGGATACACTAATTGAAATTTATGTAAGGTTTCACTTGAGCCCATAAATTTTTTAAAATAATCAAATTATCTTTCACATTGCTTAAATAGTAAGATTGAATTTATCAACTTTTTTTATTTTTTTTCTTTTTCATAATGAATAATTCGTACTGTTATATAATTTAAACAGGATCGTGAACATAATTTTTAATTATTTTCATTCTATTTTTTTCATCTTGCTTCAAATTTTTTCTTTACATTTTATTATGAATAACAAGAATGAATTAGAAGTTAATAAGATACCAATATATATATATATATAAGATTATATTATTCTTACATCTCAAATAGTATTTTCAAACTATATAATAAAATCAAAATTTGAAAATATATCGTTTCATTTATCATGTTAATTTATTAATTTTTTAGCCTTTAAAAAAAATTTATTAATTTTTTAAATATATATTAATAAAATATATGATAACTTTAAAAACTCTCCTAATTAACATATATAGCAATAATTTTTCGAACATATAGTTATTTAGCTGATATGAAATGTACCAAGAAAAATTACTAGCTAATTTCAAATTATTAACATCTTTATTTGTATCTAAAATATTAATCAAACGAGTAAAACAAAGTGCAGGCAGAGAAAAAGAATTAAACCATTACAAAGTATTTTAAGTACGTACATTCATCGTGCCCGATCCTAATCAGAAAATCGTAAAATGGTGCATCTCTATCTTACCTGTTTGCAGTAGGTTACCGTGCTTCGACATTTGGTGAGTTTGACGGTAACGTTTATATTCCTTTCACAAACCCTATTCCGAAGGGGAAAGGAAAAGTCATTGATCAAATCCAATTCGAAACGCACTGTCCCATACTACACTCTGTGCACTAGACTCCCTCTCGATCGTACGGCCCTCCTTTCTGATTTGTCAAGCAAAAGAATTTCCCCTTTCATCTCACGAGTATTTCATCATTCATTTCCTGTTTTTTTTTTTGGTTTGAATTTGTCGTCGTTTAACAGAGATATAGTAAACATTTTGGTTTGTGGATTGTGGAAATTCTGGGAATTTCGCCAATATATGGGCTGGAGGGATAAATCTGCCCAAGAGGCTTGGAGGAGTATGGAAATCAAGTGCAAATGCAATCATCACTTCCCGCTATGAGACGAACGAGTTGGGTAACCTGAATCCTGGTTTGCGGTGAAGATGGCATAGATGTAATAATAATAACTATGGGGAAAGGAGAAGGGTCAGGTTCTGGGAATTTGAAGTTGGCTCGTCCAACAGTTGCTGAGAAGCTCTGGGATGGGTCCCTCCAGCTTAATTCTTCTGTAACTGTGTCGGTTGTTGCCTTCTTCAAAAGGTTATTCAGCTACTCTTTTTGTTTCAAAAAAAAAGAAGAAACAATTGGTTGTAGATTAGAGGTTTTCAATTCATTTGTTTGCTAATGTTTTGGCTCATGAAGATGAAATGATCTGGGTTTTGGTTTGCGTGTAGTTGTTTTTAAATCAGTTAAATTACTATTAACTGTTCTGTTCTAAGAAGCATTTCAAAAAGATATTAATTTTCTGTATTTGCAAGCTCTCAGACTCACTGCAAATAAAAGCTTTGTAGTGTTCTATACTATGCAAAAAGTCCTGTGTATCAAAGGAAGGACAACTCTTGTTGGGAAAATTCACAATAGCTCAAAAAATAGAGCAATTTGGACCAAATAAACAAGGCAAAATCACAAGTTAAACAGTTTATTGTCTTTAGATTTTTCTTTTGCTAAAAAGGCATAAAATACACCAGAGAACTTTATATCAATACTTTATAATTGATGCTTAAAGTATAAAATAATAACCAAATTGATCAGACGTTTGTTCATGCAAACTATGCTACATTTGGTATGATGTAGGATCGGTAAATTTTTTTTCATGAGAGAAAGAATCATCTAATGAGAGATGGACATGGAACTGAAACCATTTAACATTTTAATTGATATAACTTCATTAGAATTTGCATTGGCAACCTTGTATTAATGGTCTAAGATCCACCTGGATATAGTATGAAACTGAAATGGATATTTAGGGAATTGTCCTTTCAGTTTGGTCCAACAACCAAATCCAATATAGCCATTTGATTATAGAGGCAACAGATGATGAAATGTATAATCATCAAATCTATTCAGTGTGGAATATAAATTGAATGAGCAAATAGTTGACATTGATTAAATGACAAATTGCCCTTCCCCTATGTGTTAAGATCTACAACAGACCCAGAAATTGTGATCTATACTTTGGAGTTTTGACTGATCAATGCCTCCCTATCTCCTGCAACTATCCTCTGTGAAGAGAGTTCACAGTTACTCCTTGTGGAACTCTGAGAAACTTGAGTCTTATAAAAGATGCCACTCTATGAGGGAAGGCCTCTGCCGCATAGAATTTTTGTGTTGCTTGATATTATCATCCTTGTATTCCTTGATTCTTATATTATTATTTTTGCTATATTGTAAACAACACAATGTCATTTCTGTTCACTTAAATCTCTCAAAAGTAACATTTTATTTTCATTGCTCTGATTCTTTTGTAACAAATTTACCGTCATGCCAATAATCAGTAATTTCAGATACACAATCCTTTTATCTTTTTGACTATTTCTGGTATATGTTCACTTCTATACCCATATATTGGTGTCCTAGTTGGACACCTGGTTTATGGTCTCTTGGCTTACTAGGACGGTTTTTTCACTGAATGCATCATTGATCGTTTTGGTATAAGATAGCCATCACAACATATAAGGTTTGAGTAGTAAATCTTTTATAGTTAATCTTATTTACGATGGATTTGTTGTGTAGCGGTGAAAGGATGCCTTATGTGCAGTGGTCTGAACTTGTAGAAGTCAAAGGAAAAGTTAGACTAGAGGCTTTTGAGAAATATATTCAGGATCTTGCTCGCTCACGCAATAGAGGGTTGATGGTAAGATTTATTTTCCTGAGTTATTGTCATTGAACTCAAATTATGTAGTGTGTGATTTACCTCTATAAATTATATCAGGATCTTCCTTGTGTTATATAACCAGGTTTGAAAGTGATAAACGGTTAAAAACTTTAAGTTCCTTAGCACAAAGAGTTTCAATTGCATGCAAAAGCTAAGTCAGTGTGTGCAATACCTTGAAGTCATCTTTTCAACTTTTGGTGAAGAAATGCCGTTTTGGAACCCCACTGCAGAGGGGGGAGGGAGGGGAGGACAGAGGGAGAGAGAGGTTTTTTCAAAATTAATAACAGTTACCTTTTGTAGCATACTGTTTCATGCATAAGTGAAAAGGCCCAAAGCCAGGCTAAACTGGAGGTAGCCCTACAGATGTCTTCGTAGCATTTTGATTATCTCAAGTCTCAACTCTCAGGTATATGTGCCCTTTTAATGAATAATGTGAGCATAGTGATTTTGGAATCAAATTCACAAATCTTTGTATTGAATCTTCTTCCATAAAAAGTACAAACTGCAATGGGTAATATCCTACTTTTTAGTTTTTTAGTTTAGGATTAGCGCATTGCTAGTTAGATGTACTTTTCTTTAAATCAAATTTCTGACAGATCAATGCGCTCATATTCAGGTAGTATCACTTTGCTGGAAAGAAGGGTCTTCTGAATCAGGACTGGCAGGCTTGAAAGAGGTAGGTGGATTGAAAAAAGAATATGAATATGGTCATGCAGTGCCTGGAGTGCCTCTTGAGGATTTCTGATCAATATATTAATTCATATTTTCTTGTAATCCTATCAGGTTGCAAAAGGGTACAAGAAAGGGGAAAGAGTTGGGTTTGCTAAACTCTCTCCAGGTATTGATCTTTACATATGTCCTCGCAGTGATGCCATAATCACCATACTTGCAAAACATGGATTCTTCAAAGGCATGGCTGCTGTTGAAGATAAGCAGAACTCGTTAATTGGTTGTGTTGTTTGGCGAAGAAATCATGGACCTTCTAATTCTGTTAAAAGGGAGCTTGAAAGCAAGCATTCTTCCTCGACAGAGCAGCGTCTGAGCTCCCGCTCTGAACAAAAGGTTCTGGGGAAAAAAAATGACACACCATGCACACAACCAGCTCAGGAATCCCTCCCACTCACATCAATAGCAGACTGCATAGGCGTTGGGAGTGCTGTAATCAATAGAAATGAAGGTGAGAATGTAGAGAGTAGTGACATCCAACTTGCACTGCATGACTCTCCTTCCTGTGCTAATCTCTTGTTTGCAACATCTGCATTGAGCAACGTAGCAGGACTTCAAACATCTTCGTGTTCTGACTCTATCTGTCACTTCGGACCCAAGGGGCAGGCTTCTGAAAGGGAAATGTCTCTTATAGCTAACTCAGAATCAGAGAAACCTAAATCTAGTTTGGGACTTCAAAATCCTGTCTTTTCGCTGCCATCAGTTATAACAAAAGAGCACATTCCTGCTGTTGATGATGATGATCTTCCAGAATTTGATTTTGGGACTGCGTGTGATATATCTCAAACTCCAAGAAATAAGGTTTTAGATAATGCAGAATTTCACAAGAATGTTCTGGTTGAAGGATTAAAGAAAATTGTTGGGTCGTTGCCGCTGACTTCAACTATACAGTCAGTACCTTCTCCAAATAAAAGACGAGCAGAAAATTTCCCTCTTCCTGAGTTTTCTTTCGACACCATTCTGAACTTGCCTCCACGAAAGAAAGTTTATGAACATGATCAGACCCCAGTATTACCAATTTTAGAACCAAAACAGACCACCAAAAGCAGCACAACCTTTACACCTATTATCACTACCATAGTTGCACCACAGAAGAATATCTTTGATGATGATGATGACATGCCTGAATGGTGTCCACCAAATGTAGAGCTTTGGAAGCAGACAGTTCTTGAATCAGCAAAGGTAGTCACGGCTTCTATCCATCCTACTCTATCAAACTCAGAGTTAGGAAGTCCATCTCCAGGCCATCCAAGTCCCCTGGCCTCAGCTTTAGCTGCCCAGTTGCCTATTTCTACCCAAAGATCCAATCATGCAAGTCATTGTCCAATAACTGCCTCTGTGAAACCAGCACAACCCAGACAAACTGATAGATATATACAGAAGGCTCCAAGTTCTTTGATGCGGTCCAATTCTATCCCTCTTTGGAGGCCACCTGTCCACCCTCCTGGATGGAGGGGCAGGGAGTGATGAAACCAGCTTTCGGAGGTAAATGTTAGATAGTTAAAGTTCTGTATAAATGCTGTTCCAAAGGGGGTTGAGACTTCATAGAAGCTAAGGTAAAGAGAAATATCAATTTGTAAATAAGCAGTTAGTTGATGGGCAGGTTCATAAGTGGACATTACAGTTTTGCAACTTCTGTTATCAGGTTTTTCTGAATTTCAGATTTAAATGTTGTTTTAATTTTTGTTTTCCCATATTTTTCTTAAGTCTCTCTTCGGGTGAAGCAATTACTTCTCATATCTATGGTGTTACTGTCTAAGATAACGCTTTGAGCTTTGCAAAGTAGCCACACGTGGTGCATCTGGAAATCTGTTAATAATTATGTAGTAATGTTTTCGATTTTCTTTCTCCACCAGAAATCATTGTCCCAAAGAGGAGCAGCCCCTAAGAATATATGTCTTCAAAATCAGTGGCCGATCTTTCTCTACGTTTCCGTTTATTTCGCTCGTATAAGCTTTATGTAGCTGCCGGTTGAGTACACGACATTATTATTGTGTTTGGTAGGAGGGAAAGTAAGGAGCATTAAGTTTAATCTGGTAGAAGGGAGAAAAGAACATTAACATGCTATGTTAATACAAAAAACTATATTAAAAAGAAAAGTAAAACATTTTCTCTCTCTTAACTTTTAGTTATAATTTCAAGTGAATTTGTTAATTTTTGAAATAAATAATTTACTTCAAAAATGTAAACACAATTAATAAAAAATATTAAAATATTAACATATTTTTTATTTATTTTAAAAATATTATTATATAATTTTTTTAAAAAAATATTCAAGGACAGCTATCGTTGCTCTCTTGATTTTTTTTGAAATTATATAATAATAATTTTTAAAATTAATAAAAAATAAAATTATTCTTTTAATATTATTACATCATCAAATTAATTATTGATAAATTATTAAATTTATATGTTTAGTAAAAATATTTTTTTTTTCAAATGAACTTTTCAATTTGAAAATTAATAAATTTGTCTAAAATTTCAATTAAAATTTAAAAAATTAAGTATTTTATGCTAAAAACAATAAAGTTAAACTTTTTTTTTTATTTTTCATCTTCTAAAACGATATTGAATTTAAAACTGAGACAAAAATCAATAAAAAAATCAAAATTTAGCTATCATTATTCACTCCTCCAAATGAATTTGGAAAGACCAGCTGTGACCTCCTTGGCTTCCCAAAATCAACCTTGAAAATATGGTAACCTAATCAACATTTTAAAAAATTCACCTTATAATAATTATTAATTTATTGATTTTTTAAATTTTAATTTTAATATATGGAAGCCCAGACAACATATCATAAACTTCTTATACCAAATCTCAATTTCACTGGGTTTGGTAGAATGATAATATAAATATGATATAGATATAGAAACTTACTTGGCCAAAAATGTTTATTATTGGATTTAAAATGAAAAAAAAATAATAATTATAATGATTTGATATGAGTTATATTGATTCTTAAATAATTGGATTTAAATAATTAAATTTAATTATTAACTTAAATTTTTATTTAATGTAGATGTTTATTATTTGAAAATCAGTAAAACCTTTAAAACTAAATAAAAATCTAAATATAAATTTTCTTTAGTTTCTTGCGGACTAGTCAACCCGAAGTTCATGAAATTCCCTTCCTCGTCAAGGAGTGAGTAGACCCAACAAAGGACCCATTTGTTTTCCCTCTCATTTTTTTAACTTTCTCTCCCAAGTCTTTCTATTTTCTTAGCCAACAAACAGACTCAAGAGAGAAGGGAATCACGTAGTATAGCCAACAAAAACCAAAAAGGATACCTTGAAACCCCATTTCTCATCAAATCCAAGAAGACAACAAAAGAAAACCCGTATTTTTACACATCCCAAGAAAACAACCCTAGACCCAAAACCTCACCAAAACCCATAAACAAGACAAAGAAAACCCAAAGCAAACAAGAACCCGCCACGTCATCATCTTCAACCTCGTACATGTCAGATCCTTCTTCCCATTCCCCGCCGCCGGAATCTCCGGTCACCGTAGACCGCCGCACTGACAATTCGTGTCTCACCAAATGGACAGTCCGTTACAACTCAAAACTCAAAACCAAGAAAACCGTTTACAGCCCATATTTTGAAGTGGGTGGCTTTGATTTCCGCCTCTTGTTATACCCAAGAGGTGATTCTTTGGCCCCTCCCAGTTACCTTTCTTTATACATTCAAATCAATGACCCACGCTGCTTTTCCAAATTTGATTGCTTTGCTAGCTATAAACTAAGCATTTTGAACCATGAAGACAAGTCAAAGTCTCTGACCAGAGAGTCTTATTATAGATTCTGTAGTAAGAAAAAAACTATTGGCTGGGGTGACTTTGGAGTTGCTACTTCAGTTTTTGATCCAAAATCAGGGTTTCTCAACAATGGTTCTTTGCTTGTTTCTGTTGAAATTTCCATTTTGGATGAGTCAGTTTCATTCTCCAGAGATAATAATAATAACAATGAGGGGGAATACTCTATATCTTCTTTAGGTTGTGACTCTGTTGTCTTCAACGGGAAATTTACTTGGAAGGTTAAAAATTTTAGTTTGTTCAAGGAAATGATCAGGACCCAGAAGATGGTTAGCCCTGGTTTTCAAGTTGGTCAAGTAGTTGTCCATATTAATGTGTATAAAACCAAGGTTGACGGAGTTGAGTGTTTGTCTTTATTTTTGGAGGCTAATGAGGCACACAAGTGTCGTAAATGTGTAGCCCTTAATACGAGTAGTTGGTGTTTGTTTCAAATATCGGTTTTAAATCAAAGGCCAGGGCTTAATCATATGCGTAGGGACTCGTATGGGAGGCTTAGTTGGGATAATTCTAATGGAGATGATACAACTCTAGGTTGGACTGATTATATGAAGATGTTTGATTTTATTGGGTCTGATAAAGGGTTTGTTGTGGATGATTCTGTGGTTTTATCGGTATCTTTCAATGCGATCAAAGAGTCTAATATTACTCTAAGTGCTGGTTTAAGGAATTCTAGTGTAACCAAAAAAGGTGACACATATATGGGAAAGTATAGCTGGAAGATTGAAAATTTCTCGAGGTTGAAGGATATTCTGAAGAAGAAGAAGATGAAAGGAGTGTTTGCTAAGAGCAAAAAGTTTCAGATTGGGAATCATGAATTTCGCCTGGTTGTTTATCCTAGAGGTAACTAATATAAAGCATGACTTAAAATTCTTATTATTTCAAACTTATTGTGCTTTCTGAATTGTTAATAGATTGTGAAATAATTACTTATCACTTGTTAACATTTTGGCTACATCTAGATGGTCATGCAATTGTGAAGAATGAGCGAAAAAGTTGTGAACGCTTAACAAAGAATTTGTTATCTCTAGAGAATTTTAAGCCAAATGTCCAGTTATTCAGCAAGAGAAACATGTATAGTTGTACTATTTAAGCAGCATACTTGTAACTGTTAGACTAGTGGCTTGATATAAGTATGAAAGACAGAACTGATAGGATTGTTTGCTAATACCTGATGACACCAGGGCTATCTCAGAAACCTTCCCACCTTTCGATGTTTCTTGAAGTTTCAGATCCTCGAAATGCTAACACGGATTGGAGTTGTTTTGCCAGTTATCAGCTAGCCATTACGAACCAGAAGATGAGAGACAATTCTATTGTGAAGGAATCACAGGAACGTTACTCAAAAGCTACCAAAGAATTGGGATGGTCTGAATTTGTGACTCTTACAAGTCTCTTTGATAAGGATTCTGGGTATCTGGTTCAAGATACTGTTATCTTTGGTGCAGATGTTCTTATTTTGAAGGAGACCTTCCAAATGCAGGATATCCCAGAGTCAAGCAATAAACCTGCCCATAAAGATGGAGATAAGAAAAGGTGGTCGATCACTTGGAAGGTGGAAAACTTCTTATCCTTCAAGAGAATATTGGCAACCCAGAACATATATAGCAAATGTTTCCAGGTTGATCAATTAGAACTTCGAATGGGTAAGGCAGCATGTATCAGTTGTTGGTTTTCTCTTCTTCTTTTTTTTTTTTGGCCACCTGGTTTCAGAAGACACTTGGTAATTTATCATCCAGTTTGCTCTTCCCTTATTCTAATATTATAATGCAGGGGTACATGTATTGTCTGACACCATATATGCTTACTTGGAGTGTGATCCATCGGTTGTGAATGATCCTGATAAGGATTTTTGGGTTAGTTACAGGATGACTGTGTTAAATCAAAAGCACCCTGCCAAACGTTTCTGGAAGGAGTCTTCTCTATGTACAAAGACTTCTACTAATTGTGATCTACAGTTAATGAAACTATCCAATATGCTGGAAGCAGATGCTGGGTTTGTTATTGGTGAGATGGTTACTTTTGTTTGTGAGATACTTGATTATTGCCCATGGTTCGATTTCTCAGAACTGGAGGTTAGCATGCTTTTGTGTGTTTTTCCTGAGCAATTAAGATGATTTTCTGTATGTTATTCTGTAGCTTCTACCAGTTATTTAGTGCTAAATTATATCCCCCTGTTTTTTGTCCATTTCTAGCTTAATACTTTGTTAGGGTGATCAATTTATCTATTCGAGATTAGTATTTATGTATGCTGATTAACATTTTCTTCATATCCCAGTGAACACAAAAAAATATCCATGGAAAGTTTTTTTTTTTCAATTTTTCATGACATTAGCTATTGAAAGGTTCTTTTTCTTTCATAGAAAAAGCAAATAAAAAGAAGAGTAATTGCTTCACACAATTGTTCTCTGTATCTTTATTTTTCTTTTAATTGGCTGAAGGATTCCTTCTCTTGTCATGGACTGCAGTTTCAACTGAGTTTTACAATATTTAGTACACAATGCTGATATAACTCTGTTCCAAATGCTTGAGGTTGTTTTATTAATTTTTTTCGTTTTTGCCCTTGATGCTACAATATTCATAAATGTTTTACCATTCAGAATATTATGTGCAGGTTCTGGGTGATGTCACACCAACTAAGCTTCATAAAAATACTAGTTCTGAAACTTGTAAAGCAATGACCGGATGTAATGTGGACATCTCCAGACAGCCTCTTGAAACCGCAAGAGATCACCTTAATGTTGAACATGATACTTCTCTGATACTTGTTATTCTGAAAGAGGAACTTAAAAAGGATCTTGGCACACTTGCTGGAGTTTTGGTTGGAATGCGGCTTTACCTTGACAATCCTGTTAAACTGAACTATTTTTTTCACCAATTATCCAGTAGCATTGATACAGGGCAGGTAAATGTTAACGCAGATAAATTTCCATCCAAGCTAGCTGCTTCAATCATGGATGCTGATTTCTTGCGTCAGAAAATTGACAATGCACTTTTAGATGTAATGGTTGAGTGTTGCCAGAGATTAAATAGTAAATCTGAGGAGATCTTAGCATTTATTTTTAATTCACTGAAGGATCTAGATGATGATGTTACGCAAGATCCCTCAGAGCCAAGCCAAAGGTGTCAATTTGTGGAGAAGATTTTAATATTACTTGATGAAGCTCCTAAGCATCTGCTACCAGATCTAGTTTCTTTGTTGCCCAAGTTAGCATATTGGTTTGAGCATAAAGTTGTTGCCTCTGCTCTTCTGGATCAGCTCCAAAAGCCATGTGCAGAATCTTCAATGCGACTACCTGTGAGACATTTTCATCTATTTTCACCTAATGTTCCTTATGAAATATATTAAAGTTGTTTGAAAAGGCTTTAACCATTTAACCATTTAATTAAAATTAAATAATTATTTTTAGAAGGGTTATTTTGCTCATATATGTTCTGGTTTAGAGTTTAGAATCAGATATTCATATTAGTCACTATGAAATTCAGGTCTAAAATTCTGTGGGTAGCATGTTCATGATACACTTAAGAGCATGCTAGATAGGAGCTTGACACTCATTTTAGTTGGATGGTAGCCCTTTAGCATAGTCTATTGAGGTTTCAATGCACATTGTGCAGTACATTGCATCACATGTTTTTTACCTTTGAGTGTGGTCTGTTTTTAAAATCATACAAATTGTAGTGAACTTCCTAAAACTGGCTATTAACCCTTTGGTAAATGTTATGAAGTGATGAAATTGTTCTTCAAACTTTATTTACTTGTAAGGGCTATATTTATCTCAAAAAATGTTGCTACCAGATGCCATTGAATTCTTGTGGGAAATTTCAACTAGAGTTTTAAAAATATCTGTATTGTGGAATCTTATGGCTCCCCAACCTTATCCATTTTGCCTCTTAAATTTCATCCCATATATCCTATTGAAATTAGAATGCAGTTGGTATTCGTAGTTGAGACTAAATTTAACAGTTAATATTTATGATTTATTCTTTTTTTTAATTGTTCATCTCCATTGATACCTTTTGTTCATATTATTCTTGGGCTCTAAGCTCATCTTATCAGCCTCGATTTAGTTGTGAGATTTCCTCATAAATTATCCTGTTGGTTTGAGTTGCTATTGAATCAATATTTTTGTCACCATTTATAGCATGTAAAGCAAGATTTTGCAGAAACAAGTCTGCTGTGGATTTCTTATGTACTGTTGAAAGTTAAGAACATACAAAAAGCATTGCAATTTGTGATTCTCTATGTCTTTCATGGCATTACCTGATGCATCATGAAAAGCTTTCTTTTCAGTTTGTGAGAGCCAACTGGCAGACCAAGAGAGTCAAAGTAAATAAGAGTGCATTAAACAAGATGGCAAATAAACACTACTGTTATGGAGCCTGCAATAGCTTTTGTTCCTTCTTTTCCCTTTAATAACTAAATCTTTTTGTTCTTCAGGTTCTTGAGGCCATGTGTAAATTGCACTTTGGCACTGGTGTTTGGGAATGTGCATTCTCTGAAGCAGCTGAAATTGTGGGTGATTTAAATGGTGAAGCACTTGGAGCTGCCATCTGCTTATTATTTAAAGCTGCATCTCAGTGCCAGCAAATCCCTCAAGCAGTGAGCATTAGAACATTGATATATGGGGATTTAATAGCTGTGTGAATCATAATGTTTATTTATTTTCCCAACAAAACCCTCTTTTGATGTGTTTACCTTTATTTTCTTTGTAGGTAAGTATCATTCGTCGAAGGTTAGAGAGTCTGGGAACTAAGGTTTCACTTTATGTGCTGGATATTCTTGGAAAAACTTTGAATAGTTCTGGTGACCTTGCAGTAACTATGTTACGAGAAATCGATTCTGTCTTTTCACTCGATCAAAAACACTTGACACATTGTAGTAGTCCCTCATCAACTGGTGAAAATGGACTTGCAACCAGGAGTTTGCATGCAGGAGATCACCATTTTTCCGATATCTTTATGTTGTTAGAGATGCTGGCCATGCCCGCCATTGCTATGGAAACTACCCAGGCTTTTGAGAAAGGTATTGCAAATGGATTTATCATGGATCATTCAGTGGAAATGGTGTTGGAAAAATGTGCTTCAATATTAAGCGTCAATGTAGTTTCTTCTGAAAAACATCAGTTTGGAGACACTGAGACGGCAGGAAAAGGAAGGATGGATTTTTTGTACCCAGAAGTTTTTACATTGCTTTCTGGTCTTGCGGATAAATTGTTCCTTTCTAGACACTCTCAAGTGCATGGGTTTCTGAGAAAGTTTTATTCATTAATATTGACACTGTTTGCGGATGAAAATTATCAAAAGAAGGCGTTGAGAAGATTGGTTGATCATGTCACAAGTGCTGCTAATAATTGCTGTGAAACTAGCCTGGATGTATTGGTTTTCTTGGTTCACAAGGAGTGTAAGGTTGCCAGACTAGTTCTAAACATGATCAGAGATGATTTTCAACTTGCCAGTTCTGACCGTTCTGCACTTCGGGGCCAATTATGTGCTAGAGAGGGTGAAAATATCCGTGCTGAGGAAGAATTGCGAACTGAACTTTCAAAGATGAGAATAGAGAAAGTAACTTTGTTAGAAAGGCTGCATGAGTCTGAGGCTACAATTCTTCATTATAAGGTGTACTTAATATCTTTTCTTACCAATTTGGATGGTGAAACTTATGTACTTGCTTTTTGACAGATTTTTGTTGTGACAGTCTGAAATGAGGCTTGAAATGGATCGTTCTGCTCAGGAAAAGAAGGAACTTTCTGAACAGGTACAAGCAGTTGATTGTCAGTTTCAACATATTTGCTCCGAACAGAATGATAAATTAGTGAAGCTCTCCAACGAGAAAAAGGTTTATCAAGATCTTCTTCGTGGCCTGGAGATGCAGCTTTCTCAGTTGAAGACCCAAAAAGATCGAGAATTGAAGGTATATCTTGTTTGCAAGTTGTTTTTGCTCTCTCTTTTTTTCTAAAGAGCAAGAAAAGCCCATTGTTTTTACTCTTTTAGCTTGTTTTTTTTTTTTTGAAAGATGGTTTTTATTAATGATGAGCTGGAATGCCGTGGGGAGTCTTCAACGTTGAGATTTGGAGACTCCTGTTGGCATGGAAGCTATCATAAGAAGAGCCTGTTCTGAACAATTACAAAAGGAGCAGCTGCTCAAGGAGCACTTGGCAGCATCTCAACACGGATAATCTCAAAAACAAGTAGAGACTCTTTTAGCTTGTTATCTGAGATAAAATTTAAATAGATGATTTTGGCTGGAATCCTTTTTTCGCTTTTCTCTTTTCAAGGGGAAGCAGGCTGGAACCCATTAACAAAATGTTTTTTGTTATGTTGGTCTGATTATTATTATGTGCTGTACCAATCACTACTTGTGCTGATCTTGCTAATATAGCTCACTGGCAGTCTGAACTGATGTTTGAACTTTGAAGTAGACTTCATTTGCAAGTTACAAAATGGTGTAGTGAGAGTGAAATATAATTGAAATAACAGTGTGGCAAAAAAGCACGACTTAACTAATAGTCCTTGACATGGGTTGAGTGATAGTTGAGGAGCTGTTGTCTACCCTGGAGAGTCAGCAAAACTAACGCTGAAGAATAAACTGTGATTTCAGTTATGATAACATTTCACTATTAGAAATTTTAGTTTAATTTTTGCATCTAACCCTGTTGTCCTTGCTCAATTATCTTGGTTTCTTTTAACAAAAGCCTGTATTTCCTGTAAAAGGCTTCCTTGTGTCTTTGCATTTGAAGTCATTGGTGCTGAGTTGAATCTAAATGATGCAGAAAGTAGTTAAAGAGAAAAATGTTCTTGCTGAAAGGCTAAGGAATGCAGAAGCTGAGAGGAAAAGATTTGATGAAGAACGGAGAAGATGCGCTTTGCAGGTTGCAGCTCAAGAAGCGGTACAACAGTCACTTTTAGATGAAGTGCAGCAGTTGAAACAGAGTCTTGGGCAGATTAAAAGAGAGAAGCAAGAGAAGGAAGAGGAGGTTGAACACTGTAAGACATACAAAGATGAGCTGAAAGTGGCGTTGAATACTTGTCAGGTTTGTTCTTCTTGCTTTCTCTTCACAAAACCTTTTCAGGTTCCATCATCTATATGTAGAACGGTTTTCTGCAGTTTCATGCTTAAATGTATTAGCTCAGAATGTGATTCTTTTAATGCCAGTGTGTTAGGTTAGAAATTTTGGTACCTGAGATTTTGCATAGTTTTTTTGTTCAAGATTGCCACAAATATCATCCCATTCTAATATTTAGTTAGATTGAGTCATACATAATTGCAATTATGGCTTGGGGCTCATTAAAAACCAAAATAATTAACAAACTGGACCTAATTGACCTCGTGGTTCAGTTTCATATTGATTTGGATAATTCAAAAAATCAATATGAATCAAGTTCAAGTTTAATTTAGGTTCTCAAAAGAAAATCCCCAAACTAGAACCAAACTAAATTGTATGTAAATTTTTTATATATTTTGATATACATCACATAAATCAAGTCATATTTGTCAATTTCTAGGCATTAATTATCCCCTTTGGTTAAAGACAAAACTTATTCTTGGTCCCTGTGTAAAAGCTGAAGGATTTTGTTGAGAAATTACTGAATAAGCTTTCAAGACTCATCCTTTATTTGAATCTTAGAATTAATTCTTCACCCAATATGTTATCCATATCTGGCTTTTTTTGCAGTTCCAATTAATCTTCCTTTGGCTTGCACCTCTATTATGCACTTGGGTTTTGTTGGAATTCTTTGTGGAAATAGGAGAAAATTGACTGAAGAAAAAGAGTTGATAGAGGTGCATAAAACCCACAGTGCTAAGAATTAATTGGCAGAATAAGTTGTAACTTAAACTTCATTCAATTTTCTGTGTGTTCATAAGAATTCAGATTTTAAATCAGTTTACATTGCTACCGTGAAACTCCTAGCACCTGTGTTTCATCCCAATCACAACTACCTCAATGAACTCTGCTTAACCCTAAGCCTAACATAGTATTTGCAAGTAGTGTTCACAAAACAGAACCGCTTCTACACAGCTTTTTACATTTTTAATTTCTTCTAACCTCGTACAAAGCCTAATTACTTATAAATTTCCAATCTCAATTAACCCCAAAATTCAAACTCAAACCCACTTTTCTTCTTTCCCTACAACAGTAATACCAGTCCATGCCAATTTGATGCAATCTCTCCTTTCTATCCTACATCAGTAAAATATTTATTTTTAATCCTGAATATTTTTAAATTGACAATCTGAATCCAAGAAAATGGATTTTAATGAGTTGACTTAGACTTTTTCTCTGTCATGCCTGGTTTGGTTTTGTATGATTTCGTTAAAGTCACTTCAGTTAGTTTGGTTTGGATTTCTTCAAAAACTAACTGAATACCCTTACAATCGAAATTTGATCATCAGATGCATTCTCCCCGTAGTTCAATGCTCCTTTCAATCAGGGAGACTATGGGCTGCCACTTGCCTTGCTGGTAACTTTGTCCTGCTGTTTGAGTAGCTGTCTTCTTTGGGGACTTGACATAAGATCATGTTTCACAATGACGAGGAGAATATGGCTATATTCTCTCCGTCTCCCCACACCCTTCCTATGTTTTAGATTAGTGTTTTTTTTTGTTCGCATACTTCCAGCTTAGGCAGGGATATTTACAATAGCTCCCCTCCCTTAATTTTTTGTCCATTACTTTCAATATGCTTTTAATCACCATTCATATGCGTGGAGTCCACATTTCATCACTAGGTCCCACACTTGAATTTATTGGTGATTAAGGCTGTATTGGAAAGTAGTGAACAACCTGCCAACATGGTGCTCATATAGACTTCTATGGTTCTGATCCTTGCTGTTTTAACATCTTCATACAGAGATTAATTGGTTCCTGAAACTTGGTGTCTACAATTTTTCTGCAGCAATATATCCAGTCCCTTCGGGCTTCACTTCAGGAGGAGATGCTACGACATGCTCCTCTCTATGGATATGGCCTGGAAAATCTGTCAATGAAGGAACTAGAGACATTATCAGGCATCCATGAAGATGGCCTAAGAGAGATCCGTGCCATCCAACATCGTGTAAGAAGTAACAGTGGAAGCCTTCCCCCTTCAATGACTGCAGATACCCTTCGAAATTTTGACGGTGATGGACCCTCCAGCCCCACCTCCTGTTGCTTCAGTCAAGGCAAGTGATTTTCAGATGAACAACAAATAGGCATAATCATGTACATTTAACTTTGCATTGGGAATCATATAGTTATCAGAAAGACTTCTTTTCTCTCATCTGGTTAGCCTTGATTTGTTTCACCAGCCAAGCTCGTAAATGCTTCAAGTTTCTTCCTCTCATGTTGGTGCATCATTATAGTGTACAGTTGTAACTGAAAAGCAGAACATTTTGATGTCTGTCAAAAGAAGGAAAGAGAGAATTAAATCAAAAGTTGCACTTGCCAACAGCTTTCTCATCAACAGTGCTAGCAACACTATTGTTCTCGAGTTGTCTCACAAGTTGCATGCTTGCTTTCGTTTCTTTTGTCACTTTCACTAATCGAATCTTGTTCTTCGGCGAATATCTTCTGATTCATAATTAGGCAATTACTGTTACTAATATTTCTCAGATCGGAAAGAAGTACAAGACCGGATAAACAATTCCAACACTGATTTTTCCATTTACAGGTATTTTGCAATCTTAGAAGCACAAAGAGGGAGGCAGAACGCATATAGTCGGAAATTTACAGACCAATGTTTCAATTTATGTACATATATTAACAGTAACAGCATTGAAAGTTGTCGACTTCAGAGGTGATATTGAATTATTAATTTAAACACAATTGTGTGATAGGTTGAGATCCACAAGTACGGTAGGGAAGGAAACTGTTTTGTGAAACTTTACAGTAAATCAGAAACTCAGGTGCCACTAGCCACGTCGACGAAATCATCGTCAGTGAGCCAGTCATTTGACTCCTCACCTTCAGACTCTTTATCTCGAGAATTTGATTGGCCTGCTTTCTGTAAGCCGCCACGAGTTTCTGGACTCTTGTTCAGCTGAACCCAGTCATTGGAACCACTAGGTGAAGAAGCTTTGATGTCCTGTTTCGATTTAGGCACTGATACTTTATTAGAAAGATAATTATCATCATCTTCCAGATCACTGAACGAAACATCCTCTTCATCTTCAAGGTTTTTTTTCACACTCACACAACTTCCACTAGAAATATCTGCTTCTTCCAGCCACTGCCCAGCATTCTCTTCATCGGTAATCTCTAATCCTTCTGCTGCGTTTACGATTTCACTGACCTTTTCCTCAGAGGAGACATTCTCTCGCTTTGTCTCACTAACCTCGCTGCTCTCTTCAGAGGCATCAAGACTACTATTCGCAACCTGTGCATTGTTATTGTTTTGCAACTTCTGCAGAAGTGCATCTCTAGTTTTAACAACCTGCAACGTAAGTAAACCTTCAATGAAAATGGCTTTGATGGCATAAACCTAAAAGTTACTCTCACACTAGTAGAGCATGCGTTTTTATTCAAAGCCAGAGAGTGAACACAAAACATGCAGAGAAATTAGTTACAATGGAGCAGAAAAACACACACACATGCACTTCAGAGTAAAAAGAGAATCTAGTACTGGAGAAAATGTAGTCACGGTTGAAACCTTCACTTTATATATATTTTCCAAAATGCCCATAATGAAATTTGATTATATTCTTTTTTCTAGATTTTGGTGAATTGATAACTGAGAGGACTTGGTAAAGACCAACTAAATCATTGCTTTATGTGTTGATATTGATTAAAGAGAGCAGAACATGTGTTCCTGAGTTTTACAACATTTGTATGCCAGAAAAGAAGGGAATCCTATTCTACATTTAAAATCCTAACCTCAATGCTCCCCACATTAGAAAAAGTTCTGGAAGCCAGAACCATTGATTTTTGCACCAATAAGGTTCAGCCAAGAATACCTATTCTTTGTTTCCCATCTTTCTACCAAATTCAAAGGCCCTTCAGCTCTGATTGCTGATGCCCCAAACCTTATAGATTTTTCTGAGATAGAGCAACACACAGGAGAATCACTTCTTAGAGAAATGAAGAGGAGAATGGAGTGAGGGTGGATTTGCTGCAAAAGAGGCAGATCATAGATTCAGCAGATAGTGGGCCCATTTTATTGGGTTTTCAGCAGGGCACTCCAGGAGTTGCTAAGATCACCACGAAGCTTCAAAGTTGTAGCAAGCAATACGTATAGACATTATTGACAAATATACACAGAAATAATTAGAGCACAAGGAACCCAGTATTTGCTGCATTTGACTATGTACACAGGAATATGTTATTGACCAATACGATATCAGGCTATTTGCTCATCTGGCTACAAGAACAACCAATATGTTTCTGAAACATAAAGCATACATGTCGGGTAAAGTTAAGTTGACTAATTAATAATACAAGGGAATAAAATATGTTTATAGTATTATTCCTACGTCTTTTTTTGGCCAAATTTATTCCTACATCTAATGCATGTGATTCAAGGTAGAAAGGATACATAAATGGCAAACGAGTACATTTCCAGACGAATTAAGGAAAGCAGTTGATGATATGGCCATTCTTGATCAGAATATATTATTTCTACACTCTACCGTGCATGCAAGTACAATTCAATATAACCAAATAAAGATATTAAAAGTCTTGCCTCAGGAGTTGATAGAAGCTCAAAATCATGCTCATTCAGTCTTGGAAGCAACAATATGAAATATATCATCCAAAATCTTTCGTCTCCCATGTGACTATGAAGGTTAACTTTAAGATCTTCAAAACTCGGGACTAAGTGTTCAATATTTTCAGCATGCTCTCTCTGAGCCTCTGACATTTTGAAATCTGCAATAATAAACCAATATCTCAAAACCAATTTTTCCAACATTTTGTTAGCTATCCTATGCATTTCCATTAATGGAGAACAGGAAAAGAGAAAAGAAGCTCAAGGGTAAGTTCTCTCCTAGTATCCTCATATAATATGCTCCTGTTACACTAAATCTATGGTCCAAAGTAGGGAGCCTATAAGTCTATGGTCCAAAGTAGGGAGCCTTAATCTCATCTCTGCCCATGAATCAGTTATTTGCATTTAAATGCCAGTCATAAGCAAGTCAACTCCACCAAACAATAAGAGCCAATACCATTTGTCCACCCAAAACAACTTAGCCAGATTCATACACTCACCAAATACACAGATAAAGTTCCCTCAATAACAATGCACATTAATGCAAAAGTCATTTCTTGACTAAGCATACCCACTATAATGGCATAATAAGTTACCAAACGTACAGGATTAGCATAGCAGAATTCACAGTATCATCAGTGTCTAGTTAAGCAAAACCATAAAGAGTGCATAAAAATCCCCCTTAACAAAGAAAACCTCTAAGTCTAGGGTTCCAACATTCACGGAGAGTTACATATTGCACAAAGCGTAGGCATCACATAAAAGCAAACATTTGATTTTCTTTGCTAATATAACAGAAAATAGATATCATTTTGTTAATACTTTGAAGAAGTATTAAAATCCTACACTTAAAATCAAACTTAAGAGTTCATACTTTGCACCAATTCAGAGGTAAAATGCAACAAAAATTAAATCAAGTTTGAAGAAAAATTTATAAAAAGAAAAAGAAAGAAATACCGTTATGTAGTGAGAGAGGAAAATCTGTCCAGAACTCTGGGCGGTTGGAAATTTCTTTAACAAATGCAACCACATCTTCCGTAATTCCCGGAACTCCGTCGTCGTCGTCGTCATCGTCGTCATCATCATCATTTTGACCATGATCATCTTGACTTGGGAGCTGCAAGAAACCGGAAGCGAATCTGGAGATCTCCGTCACCGCTTTGTTACTCGATAACAACGAAAGCCCGCTCTTGAAGCTTCCACCGATCTCCGCCAGATCGTTGCGGATCCCCACGAGCTTATCCGACGGCTGCTCTTGTTCTTCTTCTTTTTCCTGATCCTGTTGTTCTCGCTCGGCGGCAGTGACGGAAGGCGGCGAAGATGGAGGCGGTGCTAAGAAGGCAGCGACACCACGTAGTTGGCGACCGATAGTCTCCCCGAGCACCGAAAGGTCCTCCTTGACGCCGGCGTTTCGGTTGGTGGGACTGTTATCGGGTGACGACGTGGGCGAATCAGGAACGTCGGATTGCAGAGACTTCAACAGCCAAGACATTATGTACTATTATGAATTTAGTTTGGTTTTGTTTGTTAGGTGAGAATGGAGAGAGAAAAGAACATGGAGTTGTCCTTTCTCTTTTCTGCAAATGAATATATATGAACCCCTTTTCCCTTTTGGTATCCAAAATGAAAATACAAAAGCTGGTGGCGCTGTTAGAGTTCGTTGGCTGAGGGGCCTTTATTTATCTATCCGTTGTTGTTGGGGAACTGTCTTTTTGCTGTTCGGGTTTTAACTTCCGTTCCGTTTACTTCCTTGCTCTGTGCATTTATATCCTTCTTTGTGGCAGTTGACATATGCTCCACACCTCACCATTTCTCTCCGTTTTAGTTTCACCAGTAGTCAGCAGTCAGCACACTTTTTTTTCTTTTTCTGTTATTTAATTAATTATTTATTTATTTATTGACATCCATATTACCTGTCAAGTGTATTTTATGAAATTAAATTAAATTTGGTGTTTGTTTTTGTCAAATACATCAAGACCGTGATTGAGCTTAAAGAGGCATTAATGTAGTCTATTTTGGAATTGAATTTGATTTCCCATCGAATAGGGTAGGGATCAAGATTTGAAGAAATTATTCCAATCAACGTAAATTACTCAACCCTTCGTCTCTGTTTCTTCAATAATTAGTAGCCTCATTTTAAATACAAGCCTTTATCAAACTTTTCATTTCCTTTTTTCCCTTTCACATTTAATTAACATTTTAATATATGCTTTGCTCAATCATGATATTTCATTTCAATCTCAATATAATTTAATCAACATTTTAATACATGCTCTACTCAACCATGATATTTCATTTCGATCTCAATACAATTCTTACAATCACATTTCATTATAAAACACACTAAATATCACTGATTACGAATCTTAAAGCATGAGATTTTCCATAATTCTCTCGAATTATCAAATAAAAATGGTCCATAATGCTACAAGACAAGAACTTAGGTTGACCTTGAAATTGACATTCTTGGAGCTAAGGTCCTTAGCTCTTTCCTATGTCTTGAATTCAAGACACGAAAGCCGGACCACATTTTGGTAGAATGGATTGTCTAATTGTGTACCTGCTCTTACAATTGGCTCCAGGATATGCATCACAGCCGGTGGATATCGAGCTGCAGGTGCGATTTCTATTTATGTTGGCCATCTTCGGTTTACCTTAACTGGCTTAATATATAAGCAAATCCATGTTGACTTACCTAGCAAGTTACAGCTACTCGTAAGGGGTGGTACCCTAAATTAACTAAGCTACCATCTTTTATTACAAGCCAGTAAGTAGGGGAAAACCCAATTAGTATGTGCCCAACTAATAAGAACCAAGGGCCAGAAATTTAAAACTCATGCCTCCTCATCATATAAGAGCGTAGGAACAGTTCAAAATATTACAAATCATTTCTATCATCTACAACCTTAAAAGACCCAAAATGAAAAAAAAAAGGGGGTAAAATCCTGAAACAAAACAGGAACAAAGCTCCTGCTTCAGTATCAACACTTTTTCAGGTTTAAGAAAAATTGAAAAAACTTAACCAAGTCTACAAGCATTATTACCAACCTTAATCAATGAAAATAATCAATAACAAAATGCTCTCTCTCTCACTAATTATTTAACAAAGAATCTTAACCTAGCTAACTACTGCACATTCACAACATATGGTACACAATTTCCTACTCCTTCAAGCATTTTCCATGCTCCAAATTCACAGCTGACAATTGGCATATTTCTTCTTCCTGTGCTTCAAGATACATTAACATGTTCTTCGCACAACGCATCTATAAAAGGCCTGCATATGGATTGTGTGCTTGAACTGGCATACCTGAGCCGTAAGGGTGGACACTGGCTCCATGAGGATTGCCAAAAGGATTTGAAGGCTGCTGTTGCTGGCCCATCATCATCATCTGCTGCTGCAACATAAAAGCCTGCTGCTGATTGGCCATTGCTGCCATCTGGACTGAAGGTGGAGCAGCAACCATGTTGGAAGCATAAAAGGGGTCATGCGCTGGTTGTTGAATCATGGCACCAGACATAGGAGCTGGTTCCCAGGGATTATAGGTCACGCTCTGGTTGCTTCTTCTGATTGCATCATCATACAGGCTGTCTAATGTAAGCTTGTCAAGTCCTCCCGCCTTTCAATTAAAATAGCATCAGTGAGTGAACACACATGTTTAAAATCCTGGACAAAACCATTACATTGTAATATGCAACAGCCTTGTGATATGGCATACATATTGAAAGGTTCACAGAGGAGAAACAATGTAAGTAAAATTACCAGTTTGCTAGCAGCAGTGGCACCGTCATTTGAACTTGGAGCAGTGACAAGTGCCAATTCCCAGCCTGTAGTACCATTGGTTTGAACAGGAGCAGCAGCAGAAGTCATTTGCTCTGCAAGAACACCACCATGAAAACATAATATCACAGTTCTCCAACAAGAAATAAGCCATTGAAGCAGAGTTGATCCAATTTAAACAACCAAGAGAATTTGCTTAGGAGCTTATAAATTCAAAGATCTAAGACAAATTTTAAAGTATTCAAGTTCATATATGTGGTTAAAACCAGTAAATAAGTGAGTTGTTGAAGTTTCATGCTGTGTATCATTGAATTACTGAAAAGGGACTCAGACTCACCAACAGGAACAATAGCCAATGCCAAGGCATTCTTCTCATCTAATTCTGAGGCAACTGGGACAGGATCATTTAAACCCTAGGAACAAAAGGAAGAGCTCATAATGAAACTAGAAAAACTTCAGATGAACAGCTAATTTCTCTTATAACAGAACAGTTAATAACAAGAACAAAAAGAGACTACGAAGTTACCAACAAATCCGGTGGTTCAACAATAGGCTCTTCCACTTTTTCCACTTTTTCTGGTCCAGGAGGAGGAGGTGATGGTGAACGTTTACGTTCCTCCTGCACCTCCGGGGTTTTCTTGTACTCAATGGCCAACACCTCCTTGGGTTTGTCAACCTGCTTGTTCAAAAATAAAACGTGTAACAATAATCATTGCAGACTTTTGTTAGATTAATAGAAAGTAGTAAAATTTCAAAACAGGACTTTTATAAACAATTAAAAAGAACATATATCATAGAGATGGTAAGATAATGTTATATATGAATAATAATTCAACGGAAAAAACAACAATGAAAATTGGGTTGATCCTAGACTTTATAGAAATTTGATTTCAAAGTATGCGAAATTGTCTAGAATTGCACAAATGGGTGAATCATCGCTCATTTAAAGAAAAGGAGCAAAAACCATTCTCTCCTATTACTTTGTTAACAAAAAACTTTAAATCACATTACTCTAATCCACAAGCCAATCTAACAAAGCTATTCTTACAAAATTCATAAGCTACATAGGATGAAGTTTACAAATATAAATACATACATATGTTACATCGAGTTGCATGTATGCAAAGTCCTAGAAATATATATAAATTAAAATATCTTCCAGTTCAACCACAATCAATTTCTCAGAGATATTATCTAGACCTGATCTTTGCGGACTGTAGAAGCCCGTGGAGCTTCTCTTACATACTCTTCCATGGCTTGTAGAAATGATGCCGGTGGCTTTAACACAAACACCAAAAAAATTAGTTTTTAATGAAAATTCATGAGGATTCAAGGACAAAAAACTCCGTTTCAGAAGGCACCAAAGGTGGAGATTCCTAACCTGCTCTATCTTAATAAACCTTTCTCCGCGCCCAATATCAATACTTTTACATACTTCGTAAAATTCTGAAAGTCTCTCTGCCTGCAAGTACAAAGTGTTAATTCCCCCAAAGTTTGGAATCCTCTTAATATACACTAGGACATAATCTTAAAAATACTGGAACAGCCATTTTACCTGTTGCCCCGATCTCCTGTATATATCCAAAGCCCTCATAGCATCTGGACGTTGCATCTCAAAGAACTGTCATAGTTCAGAGCATCATATACACATGATTCAATGAATAAAAAAGCATCTTATTTAGAAATCTAATACCACATCTTACCTTGTCTACGAGATTGACTGTACCATCACTTATAGCTTGATAAACTTTGACACTTTCAGAAGCAACCTGTTTGAAATGACAAAATGACAAAGACAAGAGAATGTAATTTCCAAATTAACTCTACAAACATGGGAAGTGTAGACAGATAGTATATCTCTTAAAAAAAATACCATACCATTGAAAGCGCCAACTGGATTACAAAATTATGAACAGCTGCACCTTGTGGCTGCATAGAAATTCCATTAATTTCCTCACCAATAATAAGGGGAACAAAAAACAGAAGATTTGTAGAACATGACATATAAAGAGATACACAACTATCACAACCAGACCATTTTGCATGCCACATCCATGTATAGTAAAAAAATAGGCATTAAATACTCACCTGACAGCCAAGAACGCGGAAAAGGAGCTGTTGCAAAGCTGGCAACTGCTCAAGCAACTCTGCAGTGTCCAAATCTTTCATTCTCTGCAAGAAAATTTAAATTCTATGAATTCTCCAGATAGTTCAGTTTCAACAAAATGAAACAGCTTATAAGAGACATAGTTACAAGTCTAACAAGAGAGACAAAAATAAGGTCCTCACAGGGTAATTTTATCCAATTAAATTAAAATCCCACAGTTATAGATGTGCATGCATGCTTCCAGGCACTAAAACTAGAGCAGAGAAAAGTGATGGCAGGAAGGGAGGTTAGAAAATAACAATAGCTTAAAACAATATGGGGTGCCATAAAATGAAGTGTTATTAAAGTAGATTATTTAAGAACTAACCTGAAGGGGCATGACTAATTTATTTAAAGGAAAAATAGAGTTCTAATTCTGAATTCTGAACCACACAAATATTGGAACTCTATGCAAGTGCCATAAAAAATACTAGCTATGATGTTGCAGAAAATTCGTAAAAAAAAAAAAAGGATAGCAATTTGCCTTCCAATTAACAAATAACAGAAATTAAACAAAAATTATAGAATCAAGAATAAAGATTATATTGAAATCATAAGCTTCTTACTGGGCGGTCCATCTCAATATCATTCTTCAAGACACGAAAACATTCCAGCCTCTCCTCCAAGAATAAGGCATAAGTGCGAACCCAGGCAGAATAATCCCATGCTGCGTAGCACATGATTAAGAATTTTTAAACAAGAAATGTAATTCTCATGTAAATTAATAACACGGATTCACTGAAGATACGATATGATACCATTCGGGCTGGAATCGTCCTTGAAATGAGACATGTTA